TTTGCAATTTAGCCTTTTTTTTTTTTTTTTTTTTTTTGGGATAGGTACGAATAAAAGTTTACCAAAGCTATATCTTCAAATCTTTGAGTAAAATTTATATCACATCGAAAATTAATTAGATCCATGCATTACTCATGTTTGTTTTAAATGGAAATGAAAATAATATAAAATCAGACTTGAAATACTAAAACTTTGAATTCTTTGCAATGAACAAATAATTAGAATGTCTTCTTTGGTCGCATAGAAGTTCTCCGGGGTCAGCGTGCAACCCAACAGTTTGAGACTGCTGTGCTAGACACTGCGACCGACTTCTCACGTCGGTGCAATCAGTAAATTTAGTGCGCCAGTCGACAATTGGAGGTGCATCAGTATTCTGATGTTTCTGGTAGAGTCGCTACTTCTGATGTATATTGGTTTTATTACTAATCTCACGTGCCTGATATAATCAGAACATGCCAATGAATTAATATTCTGGCAAGGAGTAAAAGATTGCGTCTGTCGTTGGTCAGAGCCTTGAGTCCATAGAAATTACGGTCCGACTTTATGCTCCGTTCCACCCCAGTTTTGCGGCCCACCAGCGGCCGAGCGGTAAAGTCGCTGAACACTGGTAGTTCGGTCCGAGGTTCGAATCCCGCGAACGGGCTGGCTGCATGGGAGTTTCGTGGTTTTCCCCATGTGTAACGTGTATACAAGCCAGTTCCTCTTAGAAAGTCCTCCACGAAGGCATCCCTCCCTTACGCAGATAGCCCTCGTCTGCTTTGCCATAACTCAACACACCAACACCACCCCAGTTTTGAAGAACTGCACCTCGGGGGACGGATCCGAGTGCCTCGCAACTCTCTTTCCCTGCCATGAACCTCTCGAGAGGACTTTCAGCTCAACGTGTATTTTGCGCGCCTCCATGCCGCACAGACACATACATTTACAAACATCCATGGCTTCACCGGGACTCGAACCCGAGAATTTCGGTAAGGCAGTCAGAGTCATCAACCAGTCTCGGTGCCACTTCTGATGTGTAATTTTCTCAGGTCAATTTGATTGGGTGGATGCACAGTTACGCAGTTTATGTTGCTATACAGGTACAAGCAAGTAAACAATATTTCATAAAACGTCTTTATTTACAATATAAACTATGTTTCATAAAACGTCTTAAAAAGTATCTTAAACAATATTTTATAAAACGCTTTTATTTGTGCTTATTATGAGAACAACTTTACATCAATACCTATGTTTGAAATTGAGCATAACTTTTGGTTGTGGCTGTTGAAAGAATTTAAAATACAGTCAACGGGAACTTCTTGCTGGCACCAGCCTTTAGATGTAAGATGTAAGGTAGAAAAATTTGGTAAATCTTTACATTATGGTAACTTGGCGATTTTTTGGCGAAACTTTGGCGACCAACCCTGCTACAGCAATCTGCTAGTTTTGTTTTGGACGCCATTTTGTTTTCACAAAGTAAAGGCTTTTTTTTTTTTTTTTTTTTTTTTTGCTCAACATTTTTTCCAACAGTCTGCTAGCCGAATTACGCTTATGCTAGAACTTTTATGGAACAAAAGTGCTTAATCATGACGAAGATTAGGTGCGAAATTGGGAGAAAGTGCAGAATCGCCCACTGCTTGCCGCATTTTTAAGAATTGCACATACACGGTATCATCCATGTACACGTCGACCTATTTTCACTTAATAAAACATCCCAGAATTGCACAAAAATAGCATTGCGCACACTCTTGACTTTATCTATGAACACATCGACCTATTTTCACTTAAAAAGTCAAAGAAAATTGACAAAAATCCAGTTCTTCTTACTCTTGTAAAAAGCGCCAAACAAATAAGTGGACGATTCTGCACTTTAGCAGCGAAATTGTCTCTAAGTGCTTATTAGCTAAAATCACGATCGGAAATTTCCGGAAAATATCACATGACCTGTCTCATGATCTCTGATACCTTTGAGACAAAATAATCTGCGATTTGAACTGTGTACTTCTCAGATTATTGCTAAGGTCCTAGCTAGTAACCTTTATCACCTTACCAAAATGTCGCCAAACTACCTGTTACCATATTCTAAAGACTAGCAAAAAATTTTACAAATTTGAATTTTCCTCATGTTTTAAGGGGACTTATACACCTTAAAAACCATAAGATCTTCGAATATGTGACTGTTGCAAGAATTGGAATAACTAATTTATTTTAAAAGAAATTACTTCCAACGTTTTACAGCTGACTTTATACTATAGCTGCTTTCTGAAATAGTAATCAGAAAGTTTGTGTTGCCACAAATATTTTTATAATTTAATTCTCTTTGGGACAAAATTGTTCACCATGTTTACACCTTGCGCCGCGCACAGTGTAAAACATTGTGTTGCATAATTTAATTCCATATTTAATATGTAGCTTTTATTTCATTTGGAAACAACTGTGAACCAAAAATTCTAAGAATTTCATGTTAAATTTTTATTTTATTTGAAGTTGTAGCTCAATGTACGGCTTAATTCGTATAATATGTATTTTATTAAGAAAATTTGTAATGTTTTCATGCATAAACTTTTTTAATATTACAGTGGATGGACAAAAATATGGAAACACCTTGTGAAATGCATGTTTGAAAAGAAAGATTGATTTTAATGAAATATGTAGGTGGCGCTGGCGTTTTTGACTACTGACGCTACCTATATAACTTCGTAAATGTGCTAAACAGTTCAGTTGTTGTCGGAGTACTGTTATGTGAGGTTGTCATTGCATTATGTCAAAGTTAACAGACTTCGAACGTGGGCAAATTGTTGGAGCACGTATGGTAGATGCTTCCGTAAGCAAGGTAGCCGAGGTGTTTAGTGTTTCAAGAGGTACTCTATCGAAGATTTATTCCGCATATTTGAAAAGCGGAAAAACATCATCTGCTAAATCACAGCGCGGACGAAAGTGTGTCCTGAGTCATAATGACAGACGATAATTAAGAGCAATTGTGACGAAAAATAAGAAGACCACAGCTGCAAAGTTACTGCTGAAATGAATGTTGTGTTACCGAACCCTGTGAGTACCAAAACAATTAGAAGGGAGCTTCATAAACAGGGAATTGCTGGCCGTGCTGCAATCGAGAAGCCACAAATCAGTGATGCTAATGCCCGTAACAGGGAAAGGTGGTGTTTAAGTCACAAAGCCTGGACTATAGAGCAGTGGAAGCGAGTAATATGGTCTGACGAGTCTTCTTTCACATTGTTTCCCACTTGTGGCCGAGTTTACGTCTGGAGAACGCCATCTCAAGCCTATAATACAGACTGCTTATTGCCAAGAGTGAAACATGGCGGGGGTTCTGTTATGGTTTGGGCAGACATATCGTGGTATTCTGCTAACCCCATGATAACTGTGTCAGGGCACATGACTGCCAAGACTTATGTGAACATTTTGGCCGATCAAGTTCATCCCATGGTACAAACTTTGTTTCCCGATGGTGATGGTGTCTTCCAAGACAACAAAGCCCCTGTTCACACAGCTCACATTGTCCAGGACTGGTTTTCTGAGCACGGGGATGAGTTGTCCCATCTCCCCTAGCCACCACAGTCACCAGACCTGAATATTATCGAACCTTTGTGGTCTACATTGGAAAGGAAAGTGCGTTCTCGTTATCTGAACTTGCCACCGTTTTGCAGGAAGAATGGTATAATATTCCCTTGGCAAACATACAGGAACCGTATTTATCCATTCCGAGAAGACTGCAAGCTGTTTTGGATGCCAACGGGTTTCCTATACCATATTAAGCAAAGAAACATGTTTTTTTTAAAGGTGTTTCCATATTTTTGTCCAACCCCTGTAAAATATCATTATATTTTTCGTTCCGTTAGAAAATAGTGCCCATATAAAGAATTCCATCCAATTTCAAGTATGTACCATTAACCATTTTTAAAATATCATGCGACCAAGATAGAAACATGATGAAAAATTTTGTCCCAAAGCGGATTAAATTACAAAAATATTTGTGGCAACACGAACTTTCTGGTTACTAGTTCCCCAAATTAGCTATATTATGTAGTTAGCTGTAAAAAGTTGGAAGTAATTGCTTTTAAAATAAATATCCCAATTTTTGCTGCAGTCACATATTCGAAGATCATAAGGGGTTTAATGTGTATGAGTCCCCTTAATTCAATTAGTATCATTTATATATTTTTGATAAAAATTAGTGAGCGAAATTTAAAATTAAATTTAAAATATTTTTGTTATTCTGGTGGAAATAGCAATTTTTATTTTGCTAAAAAAATTCAGGCCCGTCAGATGCTATCAGATAGTGCATTCGGTCTACATATGTTTGCGTTATGGCAAACCGCACGTTGAGTTGATTAATGTTAACGAATTTCGCTGACTGCGCATGCTCAATGATGTACCGTTGGCGTGGGAGAAAATACTGGCGACAATTTGCCCAATACTACGGAAATTTAGTGTGCTTATTGCATGTGCTTGCGTTTCATTTCATTTAGGTTTATTTTGTTCATAAATATTACATTTAATATCAGTTATTTGACTTTAATTCAGTAATTTAAATTGGATTTGTTCCTTAATTTGTGAAAGTATATAGGAATGGAACGTATGCTAAATACATAATTGCTTTCATTCTTCAGAAGTATAATCAATAAGCATTCATTTAATATATCTTGTAAGATTTCCTGTTTTGTAATCCTTCTTAAACGAAAATTTGCGCAGTTTACAATCGATATTTACGCTCTAAGTAATGAAGCAACTTCCAAGCTAACAAGTTTTAAATCCCCGAACTGTTTACGCCCAGATAATGCAATATCTACCGTATTTATCTTCTTTTAAAATTGCGCCAAAGTCTATTCTGCGCATGCGTTGTAAGCGAAATTCATTTCACATTGATCAGCTCAATGTACGGTTTGCCATTAAGCCATATGTTTTGAGTTTGAGACCACTATTCTACCCAGTTCCCCTAGCGTGGTTTTCTGTAATAAAGTTAGCTTCCTACTATTAAAAAATGGATCAAAGCAAAACAACTCTTAAGTAGAAAAATATCTTTTATTTTACATTCTCGAGCACAATATATTTTAGATTTTATATCTTTCTGGCGTCCTCCCTGTTCAGTGTGATGGCACGATTTGCAATTTTTTGTTCTTCCTGGCTCTCCCAACGGCCGTATGGAAGTGTTTATCTTATTGCCTTTAGATTTCATATTACTTCCTTTCTTTCATGTTTCTCGCCATTCGTTTTTTCTTTGGAACAATAATTTTGGCAGTTTTAAAGCCTTCCCTTCTATGTCATAGTCAATAATCTGTTGTTATTTTCCCCATGGTTTAAATTCTGCCATTTTCTATTGATGAAGAACAATTTACCATTTTAATCATTTTTTGCTCTTTTGAAACTAATTCTTGATGATGTTAGACTACAACATAGTCTACATACATTCTGCTTTTCTTATCTTCTTGCCGAGGAGTTTTCTTCTGACTTCCCCCCAAGCTGCTTTTTTTATCCTTTTGCATCTTCTTTGGCAGCTTCCAGATCGTGGCTTATGTTCAATTTTCCTGGTACCTTGCATATTGCGACGTTTCGATAGTGGGCACGACTTGATATCTTTTCGGCTTTAAGAACTTTTCCGTCAAAAATTTGAATGCCTTTCATTCTTGGTGCAGGTTTATAATCTGTTATCCTTATCCTTCTGGTGATTTCCTTTCTCCGACTTCCCGATGGTGAACACGACTTGCCATTTTTTGTTCTTTTGGAGCTTCTCCGTCGGCAGCTTGAAGGTATTCCGTTCTTGGTCATGGTCTACGTGAAATGTAAGAGCATTGCGTGATCTCCTGCCCGACTTGCCCGCCTTTAGTCGTTTTAAAGTCTGCGTCCTTAGGGCTTTGTAGCCAGCCGGTTGGGTCGAAGATCTCCTTTTCCCTCCACTATAGCTGGACCTTCCACTCATGATGAGCAGCCTGGGATCGAATTGGGCCATCTCCTTCTCGCTCAGAAAGTGGACATTGGCGAAACACTCGACGGCTGAGCGTATTCTCCGACCGTCCCAGAATTTGTGGGGTTGGATGTTGCAGCGACATCGCACCGCTTGCTGGAGCAGAGGCAATTTAAACGAAGTGTAGTCTGTGGAGAAAAGGCTGCTGTTGCTCATTTTAGAAGTCGTACGAGGAGTCATAGAGTCCTCTTTCCTCAGCCTCGTTTCCTTTTTGAGCGAGGTCTTAATATCCGGAAGTTCACTGCTTCCGATGTCAGCATTTTTCAATGGCCGCTCTTTCAGTTGGGACAGGAGGATAGTTGGCAGCTTTAGCTTTTCGGCGCTCTCTGAAAATAGAAAACAAAAATTGTTTGGCGATGAAAAAAAAGAAAAAATAAAGAATGTATTATAATAAAAGTAATCAACATAAAAAGAAATAAATAGAATTTAAATAAAGAATGGGGAGAAAAATTATCAGTAGGTTTTGACGATATCTGAGGGAATTTTTCCTGACTGTAGTTGATTTAACATATTTGTCAATATTAAGATCTTTCAAACAAGAATATTTTTTCCGAAATTTAAATATGAATAATAATAAATAAAGTAATAAAAATAAATAAAATGATAGGTGTGGGTGTATTTAATTATGGCAAAAGCACATGAGGGCTATCTGCCTAAGGGAAGGGATGCCTTCGTGGAAGACTTTCTAAGGGAAACTGTGTCCTATACACGTTACACATGGGGAAAACCACGAAAACGCCCATGCAGCCAGCCCATTCGCGGGATTCGAACCTCGGACCAAACTACCAGTGTTCAGCGACTTTACCGCTCGGCCGCTGGTGGGCCCTAAATAAAATGATAAATTAAATAACTATAATTTATGACCATATAATTATTATAACTAATTAAGGGTAAAATTTTTTTTCAGTGTGTATCAAAGTGTTTTCAATGTGTATAGTATTTTAGCTGAAAAATTAAAAAAAGACATAGTAATTATTAATAGCGATATAATTATAGTAATTATGAATTATTGCAAAGCTATTATAATCAATTATGATAATTATCATATTAGGATTTATCTTAATGATAATACAATAATGTACAAGACTATAATAAAATATAATAATTAAATAATTACAATAACTATACAGTAATAGTTATTCATTACAGTTTATTACATAGTTAGTTTCTACAGTTTATTACATATTTACAATCATTATGTTTTTTCTTTTTTATAATAACTATTTGAGGAGTCCGAAAGATTTCTTAATCCAGGGTTTCATAATCTTTTTCTTACATCAACCCCTTTTAAAGGAATTATTTTCATCTAATTCCCTACATTTTTCTATAATATACAGCACACAGCATATTTATAATACAAATAATTTCGCACAAATGTTATAAAGACAATAATTAGATTAAGAATTTGAACAAAAGCTTTGCAAAAAAGTTTTTAGAAACAAAATCATCGATTCTAATCGCACAAAAGTTCGATTTTAATGATTCTAATTGCACAAAGTTCGATTTTAATGATTCTAATTGCACAAAAGTTCGATTTTAATGATTCTAATTGCACAAAAGTTCGATTTTAATGAATGTAACGATGACACTTGATGTATTGATGCAACTTTTTTAATATTTGTAATAACATTAATTTAATTCTTAACCTCTCTGAAAATTATTCAACCGATTCTTTGTTTTCCATTCTAGTTTCGCATTTTTTCGCATATTTGTTATAGTGATTTCTTTTGTTCATACGTTTTACTTTTTTATATTGCATTTATAACTTAAAAAATGCATATATTAAAAATAGTATTGATTTTTAAAATACATTAAATGAATTTAGAAATGAGAAAAAAGTTTTCTCATATATTTATTTTACACGATTTATTTCTAGTTACATGATACAGCATTATTCCAGTTATCACTTTTAGTAACACAATTAGTTTTATTATACAATTAGTTACCACTTTTATTAATAATTTTTTGTAATGAATAAGATCTTGATTATACTCATCAGTTGCCGGTGCATATTCAGCTATCGATCCTCAATCAATCACTTAATCATCATTGATAACGATTAAAATTCCATCGAACTCCACGTGGTTTTCCCCATGTATAACGTGTATACGAACCAGTTTTCCTTAAAGTCCTCCACGAAGGCATCTCTTGGGCAGATAGCCCTCGTGTGCTTTGCCATAATTAAATACACCAACACCAATACACACATCGAACTCCACGATGTGAATACCCATCACGTTGTCAACCCGTGGTCTCATCAAATAACATTTTAAATCCGTACTTATCGTCTCAAAGGATAGCTTTTTAAATTCGTTGGTGATACATCGCAAATAAAAATTTACAAATTATTAACTGGTTTTCAACCTGGTAATTGGAATTTCTGCTCTGAGTGAAGTCACGTGAAGATTTATATATGACACCAAACCAAGCTCATTTTCAAATTATTTGTGCATAATTTATTCAATCTGTCCAACATACCGTTTTCGAGTATTTTTCCAGTATATTTTTAATAATTTATATTGTCCGAAAATCGAGGGGAGACAATTACGCAAATAACTTGATTCTGAATGGCGCGGTCACAGTGAGAATATAGCAAAGGGAAAGGGGTCATGGATAAACTACAGGGAACTATCACAATATTATTTCTCACATTCCAGTAAAAACAGATGACAGTATTAACATTATAATATCTAATAAGATATCTTCATTTCTATTTTTCTATGACTGGAATCTCGCCCGTTCTTATTGTTGTCTTTGCTACTCTTTATTTTTGATGCCTCCAGTCCTTCATAAATAATTATAGACAGTGAATGCGCAGCCAACTCAGCGAAACTGTAGATTTAATATTGGTTGTTCTTTGCTTCGCCGTGATGGTTCTGTTCTTGTATGAAGCTGGCATTAAATTCGACATTAAGAAGGAAAAGGTTCGGCGTGGACTTCGCAGATAGCTTGTGAAAGTTTGTCTTTATTATTAAGATGCAAATAATCATTACGCGGGCAAATCCAGTATTTAGGGGAGTTCGTTCTCTGAACGCATTGAGGAAGGAGAAAATTATGCAAGCATTTTAAAAATTTTCAGAACCCGACGCCGAAAATCTAGGGGAATAATACACAAGGAAATAGGCACTTGTGCCAATACAATCTATTTTTTAAAATCACTTTCCTTTTGTAGTCAAACATATCTTTCTTCGAAACAAATTGCTTACCTGATACGCTTTCCGAATCGCTGTTTCTTAAATCTGTGGGTGTCAAAGATGATTCCTGAATGCTCGACATCTTCCTTTCACGAGACGTCACTCTGAGAGAACCCTGGGAAATGGAACATATGTTATTTGATTTTCAAAGAAACATTCATAACATTTTTAAGGATACTACATTTGAAAAACAGGGTAATAGTGGCCATCGTACGATAAAAACTGACCCAGATATTTCATTTTAACATTTTGGATTTTTGATGTCATTTACACTTTGCATTCAAGTATAAGTTGAACAATAAATTAGGATAACTCGAGACTAATGTTTTCCTAGTGAATAGCGTTGAATGATATGCTTCTGTGAATTACCAGTGAATAACATTATTTATTTATTCATTTCACATTTGCTACACCAAAAGTACTTTCACAGAGGTAATTCAGAAATTTTCAAAAGGAGAGAATACGTTATTAATGTACTCATCAAGTTTTAGTACAGGGTTGTTATAATTAAAATGACCCTAGTCAGACCACACTAGAACCCGTTCTACTTACTGAATTTTGACGAAATTTGGTATATATGTTATATGGACCATGGGGAATTCATTCCCCATAGTCTTCTAATGATTCTATGCAGAATGATTCTAATGATTCTATGCAAATAATTCTATGCAGAAATGGACTATGGGGAATTCATTCCCCATAGTCCATTTCTGCATAGAATTATATGGACCGTGCACCATTTCTGCAATAAAAAAATAGTTCAAATTTTGATCACCAGGGGGAGTTGTAACACATAAAGAAGGACAAAAAAATCTGTCAGAAATCATTAAAATTTATTCAGTTACAGAATGTGCCCAATATGTGCTCCATTGACATCAATTACGTGTTGAAAGCCCATTGTAGCGTATTCAATGGTAGTGCGAAGTAACTCTCGAGGGATTTCAGCAAGATGGCGTATAATGCTGGCTTTCAACTCAAGTCATAATTTCCCCTCCATAAACACGGACTTTAAGGAATCATCACAAGCAGAAATCACAGGGATTTAAGTCGGGTGAACGAGGAGGCCCAGGCATCCGGAAAAGCCCTGAATATTACATGATTCTCGCCAAAGTTAGCACGAAGCGGTTCTTTGACTTGACGCCCTAGTGTGGGGAGTTGCTCCATCTTCCATGAAGACAGTGGTCTTATAAAACAGATTTACCAGTAAAGTTCAATCTTTCTTCTGTAAGGGCATGATTAACGATGGCAAAGGCATGAAGAATGATTTTTTGGCTCTGGCTGCAAGTCTATAGGTTTGACTGATTTCAATAAGGAAGTTTTAAAAATTGCCATCTGGTGGTCAAAATTTGAACTAATCTTTTATTGCAGAAATCTTTTCTCCATAGTTCATATAACGTATGTACCACGTTTCATCAAAATCCGATAGGTAGAAGGGTTCTACAGGGGTCTGAATAAGGTCACTTTAATTATAACCACCCTGTACTTTTGAATCATATTCTACTAATCACACAGAATTTCATTTAAATGGTAATATTGTTCATTTTTAACCTTGGGGGTGTTGGAACACCAGTTGGCTGTGTTCCAACACCCCCAAGGGATCGACTGAGAGCAATCCCGGTGTTCCTGGCTAAGTTGGTATCTAGACAGACTCGACTTCTGAGGAAAAATTAACAGTCTTCATAGCGACTACAGCCAAAGAATCTGAACTCCCAATTCAAATTCTTTGATAATCATCATTTATTCAGTGCTAGGTTAAGGATCTGAAGGGACCATGTGGTACTGTCTTGTCTGCACCTTGGTTGGGAGGACGCCACATGGTTAGATTTCGGAAGTGGTCCTTGGGGTTTTGGCTTCGCTTGCTCAACACTGAGGAACGGCCGATGTCTAATATGTGCTCTAAGTTTTCTCGATGAATTCGTTATTACAGTCCATCATTGTTCTAAACGTTACAAAACCTAGACTTAGTGAAACTGAACATGTCCCCTCGGGTTCACAGGGGGGGGGACGTCTATGCCTCCTTAGACCGTCTCTAGAGTTTGGGGCGATTTACCGTGTAAGGCAGCCTCCAGCAAGCCAAGTCTATGTACCCCTTCCTTCTAGTACGATGTGTTCCAACATCGTAGCTTACCAGTCTTTTATACAGAATATTGATTTTATCAGTTTCTGTGATTGAGATCTTCTTTAGAAGAAACTATACTGTTCAATATTTTTCACGGTAATCTGCATTGCAATATTCGTCATTTAACCCATTTACATGAATTTTTTCTATCCTCTCTGTCATTTTAGTTATGTGCGAATATAAAATTTCTCTTTTTAATTTGCGCATGACCTCTGGATATAATCTCAAACTTTAAATTAAACATCAAATTTTTTTTTTTTTTAGTCCAAAGGTCTATTGTCCCTGAAGAACTATTGTTTTCGTTTTGCGATGGTTCACTGCAAATGTCTGTTTCACTTTTCAAACTGTTGCCACCAAATGTTAGAGTCCTGCATTATATTTGAAGAAATTAAATAATAAAAAATGTGCATAAATGTATTATATTTCTCACATTGGCATAAAACAACGGGACATAGAGCCATCGAATTTTGAATGAGTAATCCTCCTACGAATATGGGTATGTGAATTTGAAATTTGGAATTTGTTTTATTATCGATTCCATATTTTCTAAACGTTTACGAATTTTTGATTAACAAACTCAAGTATTTCAAAGCGAACAATGGCAACACTCTACGGAGGGGAGGGAACTTTTTATCTCCAGCGCGCGGAAATGTGTTTTGGAAATTCTAAAGGATAAGCTCATTTTAAAATTATTTTGTTCCATTGCTATTGCACTGAATTTTATGGTTTAAGTGCAGAGAACATGATATTTAATAAATAAAACTAACACACAAAATGTTAAAAAAACGCCCCTTTGGACGTAATTTAAAATCTGAAACTTTTCAGATTTTTTTGGGGGGGAGGGGCTATACGGGAGACAAAAGTTTTTAATTTATTTTTTAAAAAAGCGTAAATATTTACTAAAATAAATATATAAATCGACGAACCGTATAAAATATTACACAACGTAATTTTAATAAAATTTATTTGTTAAATTAAAAATTATCATAACATAAATATTTGCATCATTGAAAACTTTTTGTCAGTGAAAATATTCATCTATGGCCAATGTTTGCAACTTTAGCAATTTAAAATAACTTCTGATAGGCTGGCAACTTATTCATATGTACATACAGAGATATTTATTACGAAAACAACATGAAAATTCTCCGCTTAGATACATAATTAAATAATTTTTTATTTATAATCCCTTATTTTAAGAAGCAAGCATACAGAAAAAGTAATTTGACCAAATTATAGTTTTAGTAAAACTCTGTTACTAGTAATTAATATTTTGTAATGCATTCCATTTACTTTTCTCTGCTGAAAATATTTCAGGTCTTTTGGAGAATTAAATTAATTTAATTAATTTCTTTCAGTTATGTATTCTTTAAGGTTAAGATATATGACCTCCAAAATGTTAATGTTCGTTCTTCACCAAAAAATTCCAAAAATGTTGTCATTATTTTATGGCACCATTCATGATGAATAATTTGTGCGATCTTATAGAATGTAACATATTGGAATATATATAAAACCGTAAAGATACATACCGATTCTTCGTTAATGGAGGGTGTACTGTAGGACAGTTCTAAATGAAAAAAAAAAAAAAAAAACAGAAGCATGTAAGCATTAAAGTTGTGTCACTTGAATGAAAAACGAATATATATTGAAAATGTTATCAATGACAAATGAAATTCAAGTAGCAATAAAATTCAAGTTAGGTATACATGATGGACATAACGGAAATCATATTTTCCCGAGATTAGTAAGATATTTAATCAAATATTATTGCTTTTCATATCAAAATTTAATTTGATAATTGCTACGAATGTAACATATTTATCCCAAATAAAGTACGAAAAAACGCTGAGAATCAGTATTGTAAGTTGTACTGTCAAAAGCTCTGGATTTAATATGTCCAATAAAAGGCTTTACTTTCAGAGAATGGAGTTTTTTTAACATGCTCACACAGACAAGTTTTTCAATTTAAGAATGAAAACTAATGCACGCCATATATTCTCTATCATTCAATATACACTCATGTTCATAAATTAAGGATAATACAAAATCAGGCAAAGGAAGAGTTAAATGCAAAACAAAGTTGACTTATTTGTAAAGCTTGTTTATTAAACAAAAGGTAAAGAGCAAAATAAGATGCTATATGTTTGATATTATTAAAAAAATTAGCGATTTTTTCTCCCTGGAGAAAATTACAAAAAAAAAAAAACTATTTACAAAAAACCAATATTACATGGTTGGTATGATTGTTAATACATTGTGTGTCTCTCAGATGATGCAATACAGGCCGTACAACGCCTCGGCATGCTGAGTATAAAATTATCGATCTGATCTTGGGGGATATTACACCACTCAAAAAGCAATGCTCTCCGAAGTTCCGGTACACATGTAAGAGAAGGTTGACGGGCTGCAATTCGTCGGCCAAGCATATCCCACACGTGCTCTACTGGATTCAAGTCCGGTGAGAATGCTGGCCAGTCCATACGGGTGATATCCTCCGATTGAAGACATTCGCTTAGGATGTTTACACGGTGAGAACGGGCGTTGTCATCTATAAACACAAATTGTGCGCCCATGGCGGCCCGAAACAAACGTACATGTTGTTCCAGAATGACGTCCCGATAGATTTGGCTTGTCATGGTTCCAATTTGAGCATGCAAGTCAGTTCTGGGACCCAGAATAATTCCACCCTAAACGAGCACTCCTGCACCACCGTAACGGTGTTGTTCAATGATGTTTTCTTGGTGGTAACGGGTACCTGGAACTCTCCATGACAGTCCGGCGAGAATCAGACTGCAAGTTAAACCTGGACTCGTCGAAAAACATCACACAAGCCTACTGTTGCGGTGTCCACAATGCATGCTCTCTACTCCAGGCTAACCGCAGGCGACAGTGAGTTGCAGTAAGTGGAACGCATCTGACAGGTCTACGAGCATATAGACCAATCTGCCCTAAGCGTCTGTACACGGTCTGCCTTGAAATTGTCGTACCAGGGGCTGAAGAGATCTGACGAGACAGGTCTGAGGCTGTGTTCCGCCTGTTTCTTTTCGCAGTAACTGCCAAATACCGGTCCTCATTCAGCGTTGTAACTCTGGGGTGACCTGTGCTGTAACGTCTACTCACATTACCATCATCTTGGAATCTTTGCCAAAGCCTGGAGATGACACTCTGGGCAATTCCAAGTTCGTCTGATACTTCCAGTTCGGTACGCCCACATTCCAGACGGCCGATAATTTTACCACGTAAAAAAATTATCCAAATGCATCCTTTGTGTCATAACTATTCGGTTATTGCACTGAAATGCTTATAAAGCGCCAACGAACAATTTTACTTCTTTGCCTGTATTCCTTATATATCACTCTTTTACACTCTCGTCATTGTAACGTACCATCGGTGTCATCTGGTTACTTCCTGAAATTTGCATATGATTCTTGAAGATGTGTGTAGTGATTTTACAGGTGATATATTTATTTTAGAGTTCGATTTCCGCGTGACTCCGAATTATCCTTAATTTATGGACATGAGTGTACTCTACGATAGGGATGGACAAACGTTTTCGGTGCCAAAAATCGAAAACAAAAGGTTTGGCACGCCAAGATAAATTTTTCTAAAATTTTAAAAACAATATACAAGTATTACAATTTAAATATGTTAATGAGATGTGAATGAAATTACGATTTCATTTTTAAACTTTTCTTATATTGAGTTTCGAAGTGCTGATTCTAATGAACGAGGCTAAATGCTCATCAGCCAGTCTACTTCTGAAATAATTCTAAGTTTCATGGCTGAAGACACTTATTCCCATATGTAAGATGAAGCAAACATAGCAGTGATTTTCTAGACGTAAGATTTTAAATTTGGGAAACTTACTTTCGGTAATGATTTATAAAACTCTAACTTTGGCACATTTAGAAAAAAAACTGCTTGAGATGATTGTTAGATTGCAACTCAATTAATTCAAGCTGCAAATCTGACTTCAGTGCTTCACAGTTTACGTTGAAAGGCATGGTACAAATATCCAATTCTATTTGAATGGCACTGAAATCTTGAAATCTTCCTTCGAACTTAAAATGCAGTTTTTTAAACCATCTTTATAATTCTTAAGCTTCTCTTCATTTACTGAGGGTATTTAATTTAACCTCGGGAAATGAGACAAGTCGTTTTTTGCTAGCTGCCCAGCAAACAGATTTTTTCTTATTAAGTTTTAAGATATGATAAAGTTTTTTCGGTACTATTCGGTTTTGAGGGCCGTAAAAAACCGCCAAAGTACTGTTGATGCCAGTGCTGCCAAAAATAATTGCGGCAACCCAAATGCAAGAAAGGAAGTATAGTTGTAAATAACTATCTAAGATTTATGTTTTAATTTAGATGAAAGGTTAGCTTCATATAATACTTTTTTATTATTATAATTTATATGAAAAAGGCTAAGCATGACTGAATGGAAGCATAAGAGTAAATAACTATTTCAGATCATTATTATAATTTATATCAAAGTTCTTAAAAATAACTGAATGGATACCTGCATCGCTGTTTCGAATAAATGATGCTTCCTTCCTTGATATTTTCGCAATTTTTTTCCATCAGGGTAACGGCGCTTCTGTTAGGTACAGTAACCAAAAAAGTCTCTTTCTTTTCTCGGCAAATTCCGCCAAAAACCCATTGCTGTGGTAGTACACGCCGAGTGTTTTATTTTTTCTCTTTACAAATAAATTCTTTTTACAAAACTACGTATAACACGTAGGGTTGCCGTAAGTAGGGTCGCCAAATTTGGCGATTTATGCGAATTTTGGCCTGGTTGCGTTAATACGTAAGTACCGTAATAATTTAAACCTACTTTAGCATTTTATACTCTTAGTAAATGTATTTATTTACATTTGCCTGCCATCTTAAACAACGTTTTCAACAAAAAATTAATCCATTATATTTTTAACGATATTTTTTTTTTTAAGTTTCGAATACTTTATTATATGCGAAAAATACGTAAAAAAAAGCATTTTTGAAGATGGCTGACGACTGTGAAAACCGCGCCAACAATTGCGCCAATGTAAATCGCCAAAAATCCGTGCAACCGTCTACCAAAGTAGCACCCTTTCCGCAGACGAAATAGAACTTGCATTATTCAAATTCCAACAATTTGAAACTTTGTTACTCGATTCTTAAAGCGGCTACTGTTCTCGTTCCCAACTTTATCAAAGTTAATTTTTTGATCTGTACGGCGAAAATTTCAAATGGCGCTGAAAGCTTATGAAGTGTTCGCTTATGAAAGAATAACAAAAATTCTATAATTAAAAACTTTAGACTTTATACAAACCAGATAATTTGAAAATTTCGATAACTAAAATTAATTTTTTTCCACAGCCGAAATATAATTTGATCATGATATTTTTAAAAGTTCTACAGCTAAAACTGGATGTTTTCCTTAGCCAAAATAGAACTTAGATTACTCAGATTTCGATAATTTGTATATTTCCCTAACTAAAACTAAATGCTTTTCACAACCAAAATAGCACCTGCGTTTTTCAAACTTCGATAGTTTGAAAATTTCTATACCTAAAACTGAATGTGTTCCATAGCCAAAATAGCACTTCGAGTACACAAACTTCAATAATTTGAAAATTTCTCTAACTGGAACTGAGTGTTTTCCATAGCCAAAATAGCACTTGGAGTACTCAAACTTCGATGGTTTGAAAGTTTCTCTAACTAAAACTGAATGTTTTCCATAACTAAAACTGAATGTTTTCCATAGCCAAAATAGCACTTGGAGAACTCAAACTTCGATAGTTTAAAAATTTCTATAAGTGAAAGTTTTCCACTGAATTTCTCAGACTTCGATAATTTGAAACGTTCTATAATTATATTCTTCGATAATTAAAAATCAAGTCAATTCAGAATTTTTTTTAACTCGAAATATTCGCTAAGTCTTACTTGGCATTCTCGGGGAAGGCTTCTCAGCGTCGAGATGTCCGTCCGAGTGAGCTCTGTAGATAGGAATACCGGATCGACGACCAGAAATCTTGTTTCGGCCACTGCCTTGCGCAATCTGCCTGAGAAAAAGAGTTATTAATCTTTAGCTGGTGGGAACTTGAAACGCAGTAAGCAGCGCATCTGATGAGCTTTGGGACTGGCGGAATAAAACATGTAAATATACCATAAGCCAGGGGTCTTAGAGTGAAATTACATGCGGCCGTACGCATAATCTGAAAACAACTGATGGGCAATGACTTTGTTAGAGAGCCAGAGATTCTAACTAGCGCCAGAGATTCTGACTGAATGTTAAAAAAAAAACGCCCCTTTGGACGTAATTTATAATCTGAAACCTTTCAGAATTCCCTCCCTTCTAATTGAAATATATTGGCAACCAGATATTAAATTCTTGGATTGACATTTCCTGCAGATAATTCTAACTCGTTTAATTACTCATTAACCACTTTACTTTAATTTAAACTAAAAATAAACAAATTGTAAAAAATTTAGTGTCCGCCAAAAAACATCGCAGAAAGAAACGCCGCGGAGAAAATAACGAAGGTTGAAAAACGTCGTCATAGAAAAGTCCTGAGGGAAAAGAAAACAAAGAGAAAACGTCGGAGTTTTGAAGCGTCGGGGTTACAAAACCATCATCGTCGAAAATAAAGTGGTTAAAAAATTTCGCAGTTTAAAAACATCATCGTCAAAAATATCGTCGTAAAAAATAAAGTATCTGCAAATCATTGCATGACGAAATCGCGAGCATATGTTTTCACTAAAGCAAGAAAACTTTTGCGACACATAGCCAAATCCCTCTGCTAGGGAAAACCCAAGAAAGAAAGTGGAAAATGTAGGGGAAACGTAGGGGAAAATTAGTTTTTAATTAACATCTCGGCTAATTAAAGTCCCACGAAGACGCGAATGGTCAAAATGGCGTGTCACGGACCTGCGGAATCCAACGGTGTGCTTCGCTAAGCCTTTCGGAGGAGATGTTACTTCGCCCCATATATATATAGTATATATATATAAGATTTAATTCTCGAACTAGTCTACAATATCATTTAAATTCAGAAGCATAAGCAAATCAAGTGCAAAATCAATACATGAAAATAAATTCACTAATTTAGCAAATTAAAATTAAACTAAATAATTTTTTTAAAAATGCATAAGTGAATAACCGTTGAGTAGGCAGGAGACAGACTTATCAAGGGGAAGTTGCCTCCAAACCTAACTCTCCAATCATTCAATTCGTGTTTCGTCATTCATGCAGGCAAGGGTAAAAGTCAAAACCAAAAGTAATACCGATAAAGTGCTACCCTTAGAAATTAACATTTAAGAAATAAATTTAAGAATAAAGTTCTAAAAGGAAAATACTAATGAAGTCTTTTGAGAAACAAGTAAAGTCAAGAATTAAATGAAACTTTTTTTAAAAAATTAATTCTTGATAAAAAAAAACTAAAAACCAATGTATTTTAGAAACCCTTGTATACAGAAACCTATGTTTTATATGTTTGCACATTTTTTAAAATTTTTTTTAAAAATTATTTTAGCTTTTTTTAGGATTTAAATTTGCTTTTTTACTTTTATACGTGTTTGTTAAAAATTAAATTTTAATTTGTTTATATATATATATATATATATGTATGTATATATATGCGGCTTACGTGTCTGTTTGTCGTCGATAGTTTATTGGTTGTTTGCGTAACTGTACTAGCCAATGGGATGAAGTTGCCGTTTCAATCGAGACGTAGACAATTTCCTGTAAATCTTGCCTTTGCTATGATCATCAATAAGTCTCAGGGCCAAACGCTAAAGCGTGCTGGCATTTTTTTACCTGAGCCTTTATGTTGCTTGGTCAAGAATTCGTGAAAGAACGGAAGTAAAATTAAAAATAATGGATGGTCCTCTGCAAGGCGAGCTTATAAATGATGGAAAGATCTACACAAGAAATGTTGCGTACAAAGAGATCTTTAACATGTGAATTAACATTTTATTATTTAAACCACCTTTATTTATTGAGCTAGCGGTGGCTGTTAAGAAATATACCACCAGTGGTTTCCTTCATTGCACTCTACTTTAAACAATTAAGCAAGCAGAACGGGGAAATCCCGTGGCAGTAAGCAAAGTGGTGTCCTCGCCGCATGCCCTGGGTAATTCAGTTTGAATTAGCAGACACCTTTGCACAAATCATTTTAATTACAATTTATAATATCAAGAAAAGCGGTCATTTCGAATGGCCGCCGGGCTTTCTAGTAATAAGCATAAGCAAGCACAAATTTATAGCTTATAAGGACTTTGTAGAACCTTATCAAAAGCTTCGCTGTTGCCGTGCTGTATAGGGTAGAAGTTATAGTGCTTAATCGAGATGATAGAGGTGGAGTTAGAAACAAATTTTTTCAAGTTTCCGACAGAGACGGTGGGGAAGCTGTGTCACTGACGAGATTCCTATGTACGAAAATACCAGAAGCTTCTAAGAAATCCAAATTGAGAGAAAAGCCGTAATTTTATATTAGGATGTTTCAGAGAGATTTAGAACCTAAATATGGTGGTATCTCGATATGCATCCGCTTTGGAATAAGTGGTGCTAAATTCGAAAAACTAAGATATTTAATTTTTATTTCAAATCCATTGCTATTAATGAACAAGCTAAGTGGCTTAAAGCAACCAATGCTGATTCATTTCAATTACGATTAATCAGTAGCTGTCCATGAGAAATTAAGTTAATTCGGTTAACTAAAATCATTATGTACACTTTCTTCTTTTGTAATAAATATTTAGGCGGCTAGCCGCTCAGGAAGCTAGTATTTATTAAAGTTCTTTAACTGAAAAATTGAAATTATTCACCATACATATATATATATATGGTGAACCTTCTCATGATAACCCCTTACCTAAGGTGGCCACGTCTGGAAGTCACTAGTAATTATTATATTGTAAGTATTGGACATCCCTCCTCCAAAGCAACTATTTACACAAAAATTCAAAATCATCTGGAATTTCAGAGATTTGTCTCTTGGAGAATTCAAATATTTTAGAAAAGAAATAAATCCAATTATCCGAGTATGATAATTTCGGATATTTAGTGATCACCCCTGTAATAGGAAAGAAATAGAAAATGTGAAGAATAAAATGAATTCTCCGTAAGACATCACCCACGATACTAGGGGTTTTGTTTCTCTGTGATCATGTGTTTCCTCGTGTGTTTATGTTCTGAAGAATATTGCATTCTTTCAAAGAAGGTTATCTTCAGAAGGTTTGCTCTTTTCTTTCTGGATCTCTCAATTCTTACAAATTCAAAACAAATGTCTCTTACCTTTGAAAGTTTTTAGTGAGAGTTTCCTTGTCTGGTGTGAACCTGGCAATTAGACTGTGCCTTCTCTGGGGGCTCTGGCTGTAAAGTAATTTCTCATTTTCCTCTTTAACTTCCGTTACCAACTCCCCCGCTGGCAAGGCTTCACCTGTGGGCATCCTACTGTAATCCAAGAACACCAACGAATTTGACCGCTGTCGGTGAGAATTTAAAATGGGAAGTTTGCTGGTCAAGACTTTTTGGGAATGCTTGGGAGATTTTTGATCGGTATTCCTATCCTGACTTTCGGCTTTGCCTGCTTGAAGCTGATCGCCGATGCGGGGTAGTGCATTCTCTGCGTCCAGCTTATTGAGCTCTTGGGTTTGGATGAGTTTGGTTGAATTCACCGCTGAGTGAGTGCCTCCTTTCATGCCAGTGTTGATCTTGGCAGTTGTGTGGCCTAAGTCTATGGTTATAGACCTACGATGTCTGTGGATTGACTCGGATGTGCTGATGTAACCCGAGTCCTCAGTGGTGGAGGCTTCCTTGTTTTTCTCTTTGTTTTTCTTCGTCATGCTGATTTTGATGCTCATCTCGGGGTCCTCCTTCCGTTCGATCTCCAATCGAACATCGCCTTCATCAAGGGAGGAGGATTTGGCTGTTTCTGTGAGTCTCGGAATAGATTTCTTATGATCGTCTTTTCCTCCTTTTTCATCTGAATCGTTTGCTTTGCCGCTTTTGCTTTGCCTAGAATCAGCTGAATGCGTTTTATCTTGTTCATGTTTCTGGGAATCCGTGGTCATTTTTTTAGAACTTTTTCGAGCACTTGATTCTTTCGTAGTCCTAGGGGCAGTTGTCCGAGGGCTTTTTGCATGATCGGTGGGTCTTTCATTGTCAGGTTTCCTGCTAGTTTGTAATTGGTCATAGGTTTGGTGATCTGGCTTATGCATTCGTTCAGATTCGTTTTTGGAACTAGTTTTTTGTTTATTCTTATCACCTTTGGATATTTCTTTCTGAGCATTGACTTCAGAATTGATTGTTGTTGTGGATCCATCCTTGCCTTTAATATTCTCATGCTTGGTTAAAGGAAGTTTCGATTTTCCTGAGGTTGCTTTTGAAGAATTATCGTTCTTTTGTTTATCCCGTCTAGGGAGCTGAGTTTTCGTTTTTTTCTCAGTCAGGACTTTTGAACTCACGTTCAAAGCGGAATCTGTCTTTAAATTTGAGTCCTTGCCACCCGAAGCTTTCGTGAATCTCTTGGTGGAAGATTTAGTAATCTGTTCGTCGATTGCTTTATTTTGTTTATTCCTGATGAAAGTCCCGCTTCTTTCCTGTGTTTTCTGATTTGGAGCCTTTAAAGCGGAATTTTTGGAAACTTTTTTTCCAAGTTTGGGTTCCGCTTCTGCGTTTTCGTTTTTCTGCGCTGGTGACAGTTTTGTTATCTGATCCCGCTTGATTTTCTGACTTGTTAAACTCGGTTTCTTTTTAATACTAACGGGGCTGCTTCCAGATCCAAAATGGACCCACAAGAAACCAGGCTTTTCTAAGTTAGAGTATTCCCCTCTATGTCTATACGGCATCTTAGAAGAATTTTCCAACAGCGTCGTCGATGTGAGCAACTGGGTATCCGATGCCGCAGTTTTAAGACTGCTGTTGAAGACAGTCAGCTCCCCATTAGCGGTAAGTTTCCGATACGCTGAATTTGCAATGGCAACCGCTTTCTCCGACTCCAGAGATCTGTCACGTGCAGTAGAGCGTAACGTCTTTCCTCCTCTTTCTATCGAATGCTTATACCTTCGATTTCGAGAACTAGCGTGGAAAATTTTGCTGTTATCCATTGCTTGGGATTCTTCGGATCCAGGAACGAGAGGAGCGGTATAAAACACAGAACCTGGATTTTGTTTATCAGGTGCAGTTTTTTGTTTTTGCCTATTTGAGTCTTCGGTTGGAACGCTGTAGAAAACAGCGCTAGGATTTTGTCTTTCTGGTGATCTTTTATTTGGGCTTAGATGGATTTTGTTCTCCATCTCCCTGACATGAGAATTTTGCATTTCAGATGCCTTGCATTCTTCTCCCATCGATACCTCAAAAGCTTTTTCTAGTTTCTTATCTTCTTCTAGCTCTTCATTTCCTGTTCTCTTCTTTTCTTCCAGTTCTTTTTGCATTTCTTTATTTCCTTCTGTTTCAACATTTTCCGTTTCTTTAGTTTCTTCTAGTTCTTTCTTTTGAATTTCCTTAATTTTTTCCAGTTCTTTCTTTTCTACCATTTTATATTGCTTTGGTTCAGGAGAAGTTTCGGTTTGTATAGATATATCTTTCTGAGATACATTTACGTCCTCTTTAATATGCTTCCTCGTATCTAGTAGGTCATTCGTATATGGTATGTTGTCTACCGTTTGAACAGAAATAGATCTGTTTATTTCGTTCACTTCAAACATTTCTTGTGCATGTCCAGTATCATGAGGTTTCGTGTCATTATACTGGTCAGAGGGTAGGTTTGACTCGTCCGCCATTTCTGTGCTGGCTTGCCTTTTTGATGCCTGGCTTGTCACACTAAACCGTTTCTTTCCATTTGCTTTATGCTCGACAGGTACATTAGGCACTTCAGCTGAAATTTCCTCTACCGTGTCACGAACTAACGATTCTTTGCCTATTCCCATTCCAGTCACTAAATTTTTAGTAACAGTTTCGTAATCTATGGGCTCTTCTCTTAATTCCAACTGATTATTGGCTGATTCTCGGGTTTCGTCTTCAACATATGTCCTATCACCTGGAATCTTTACCTTCCTTTTGGTATCTGTATCTATATTACATTCTTTAGTCAAATGGTGTTCCACATTTTCAGCCGATGCTTTTTCACCTGGAATGTCTGGTGTCTGCCCATATTTCTGAGTAATTTCATCAGAAATGGAACGAGCTTTACTGTTCTCAAAATTAGTTTGAGAAACATCAGGTTGAGCTCCGTTCACATTCTGGCCATCTTTGTCTTCCAGCTCCGACAGTAACACAGTTATATCAGGTTCAGGTTGTATATCATCGCTGTCAGTCTCGAATTTAGTTTCAGCTTCAGACATGGAGTCACTGTCTGACGCATGATTTGCATTTGAAACGATAAACTGTGGGTTTTCTTCATGTGGCTGCTGATTTGCAGTTTCCGATGCCTCGGCATAAACAGTAGTTCGACATTCCAGAGCTTGGTGATCGTCAGTCGAAATTACGATGCCTCGATCGTTCTCTTCCTCTAACATTTTCTGTATTTCTGATTCCGTAGTTCCGAATATATTTCGCATCTCTTGTTTTGCGGCTTCTACTAGCTGCATCGCGTAACCATCATGAGTTATGTCGAGACCAGTATGACTAGGTCTTACTTCATGTTCACGTTCTTCACTTTCTTTGGTCTGAAATTTGTCACTCTTTGACATTACTTTACCACCAACAACGACAGATTCATGAGCCGTTTCAATCTGAGCTTCCAACTTCAGCTCTTCTGGTTTCGAGTCTTGATTTAAATCGCCTAAACTTTCTTTCGTGGGGCTTACAGTATTTTGACGTCTATGTTTATAAGATTTAACAACTTGCTTTTGCGTTTGAACACCGATCCGTTCATTGTCGCCTTTTGGATACCTTATGTCACTCTGAAAATGTTCAGATGTTGCGACTTCATCAGAACCTCTTTCTTCTTCTGCTTCTTCGACCTGATTTAAATTGCATTCCAATTTTTGAGAGGATTCTAAATTAATATCATCGATATCCTTTTCTGACACTTTCGTTAAAGTAACATTTCCGTTGGAGATTTCATTCTTCAGAGAATCTGAAGCAGGAAGTGTATTTGATACCTGCTTTAAGTAACTATGATCATCTTCCTTTTTAGACAATTTGTTTTCGGCAGATATATTTTCTTGAGGAAGACCTCCATCACTGACATGTGTTGTCACTTGTTCCTTTCCAATTAATTCTTCAACACTTATCTCCTCCATTTTCGTCTCAGTTTGACTCTCTTCTGTTATGGGAGCATTTTCAACATCTTTGTAACAGACACTTTCGTCGTGAGTAGAGGACTCTCTTTGAATCAGACCATTTTGAGTATCTTTTGAAGACACAGTTTCGTCCTGAGCCGAAAACTGACTCTCAATTGGGCCATTTTCCAAACCTACTGAAGAGACGCTTTCTTCATAAGCAGATGATAATCTATGAGTGTTGGTATCAAACACATTTTCATTTAACTCCTGGTGACATGTCTCATCACCTTTAGAGACTTGTTCATTTTGAAAATGGGATGAATTTTCTTCATGCTGAATCACTGATTCTATGTTATGCACTTTGTCTTCACTTACATTTTGCTCTTTCTCTTTTGAAATGGTTTCGTGTAGATAGCTTTTCTCATTCGATAATTCCTCCTTTCTTGCTTGATCTGTTACTGAAGCCTCAGTGGCTGTGCCGTCATTTGGATGTTGCTGGAACACATCCTCTGTCCTTTCATCTAAATCATCTTGGGAATAGTTTTTAGTTTTACTGCTACGGCTTTCACCTGTTTTATTCACTTCTTCTTCATTGGACGGCTGCTGAGGATCACCGAATAAAAGATCGGTACTGCCTCCTTCTACGGAAAAGAGTTTAATTTTCGGCAATTTTGTACTCTTCTCTATTCTTGCAGATTTACTCTTTTCTTTGAGACTTTCAGATTTTGATTTGTGGGATGGAATTTCTATCAAGCTTTGTGTCGACTTGAGAAGTGGTTTTCTTGGCTTCTTTTTTTCGCGTTTCGAACTGGATACCTTTGGAAGAGATGCTTTGCTGGAATAAATATTATCTTCTTTAACAATTCTAGATTGATGAGAGTTACGTCTTAAATCTCTGATGTTCAATTCTTCACCATTAATATCGATTTCCTCCTTCCCATCTAAATCCATTGCTGAAACTTTGTTTTCCTCGTAATAATATTGCTGATCTGAGGAGTCTTGAAGCTTGCTTGCAGCATCATGGTGTTTGGATTCCTGCAAATTGCTTTCATCAGCTAAGTCTAAGCTGTCATTCGTTTCGCGTCTTTCAGTTTCAACTAGTTCGTAACTCCCATTTTCCCTCTCTGTTTGAGAATTCTCTTCAGGAACTGGCGTCTTGATTGGAACGTCTTCGAGAGATTTTACAGGCAAACCAGACATCTCACTTTTGGAGCGTTTGTCTTCAGTGCTGGAATACATCCTTTCCTCGTTCGGGTGATATTCGCCATCCGATAAAATTTGACGCTCCGAAACATCAGCATACCGCTCCTTTTCACGTAAACGCAAGCGCTTTCTATGATAATGTCTTTTATGTTTACGATGGTGTGCTGAGGTGTAACTGCTTTCCAAGATGCTGGATTCTTTCTCGTCCGATGGCCGATGATAATGATGGTGGTGGAAATGATGGTGATGATGGTGGCGATGGAAATGTTGCTCTTCTGGATCCTCTGCCAAGTATCCTGACCTTTCTTCGCTGCCACTACTATCGATACTTTTAGCTAAAGGTACTTCTAAAAATTGCCTAGAGGTTCTTCGAGTCATCTCTGGTACTTGATGATCTCTGTAGTCTGACCTTTCTGGTGATTCTTCGTTGTAACTACTGCTTAATATAGACGTTTCAGCATGTCTGTGCTTTGTTTCTCTCTTGCCACTATCCGTCTTTTCATGAGCTTTCATGCAGTCGCAGGATATGTTTTTAAAATTTTGGTGGCCTTCCTGCGAATGCCTTCTGTGCGACTTATGATGGTGTGCGCCTTTTTCGAGATGTGTTTTAGAGGCCATTTTCGAACTTTTTCTACGTGTTTTGCTGGGAGTGTCAGTCTTGATGCTTCTTTCTTCGCCATGGAGACACTCTTGATTGTATTTTGTCGTTCTTTCTCTGCTTTTCAGGGACTTCTTGCGCTGTGGTACCATTTCGGTTTCTTTGTCTTCATCGAGAAAAACTTCCCCAGGATCGTGCTCGGAGCTGGAATCCCTCCTTCTTTGCTTGTGGTAACTGGAATCTTGCAGATATCGAATATCCTCTTCATAGGCTTCGTCATCACGCTGTGAAGTGTGTTGCCGCACGCGATCGGTATATTTGTCTTCTATCCTATCATGGAAATTTCTGTACACGGCTTCATCTCTGGGGTGTCCGTGAGCGTCGGAGATGTATTTCCTCATCTCTGCAGCTCTGGCCTGTCGCTGGAAGTACCTTTTCAAATAAGGATTGGCACCTCTCTGTTCTGGCCTGTGTCCGCTGCTGGTTTCGCTTTCTTCCACCTCTTTGGCCCAGGTCCTCCCTTCTGATCTCTTTTTGCGAAGTCGTGTGACCTTGACGCCAGTTAGGGCGCTTCTGTGTTCTGTATCACTACCAACGCTGTCGGAAAGTTCATCTTCGCCTTGTTGTTGACGGTCTATGTCCATACCACTAATCTGGCTGGATTCTGTCATTCTCTCCTCCCAGTCGTGGTTCGCAGCACTCTCCACCTGAAAGAATTTTTTTATTTAATCACTTTATATAAAATATAAGAATGAAAATTTATTTCCTCCTTGTCGACATTTTAATTTGCAGAATTTAATGTATAAAACGAGTCTGCACCTCAATTTCCATTGTTCAATATTAGAAATAGCTTAGTAATAAATGAAGTATTTTGAAATTACAAAAAATAAAGTAATATGATAAAAATTGCTTTGAAATTGATAAAAAATAAAAATGGTATAATGAAAATAAAAATTTGTTTGAAATTTGAAAAGACAAAATAATGTTACGAAATTTGAAAAGATAAAATAATGTTATGAAATTAAGTTGTTTTGAAATGAGTAAAAATGAAAACTGTTTTGAAATTAGAAAATAAATGCAATGTAATGAAAATGAAAGTTGTTCCAAAATTGGCAAAATGGAAATTAATTTGAAATACGTCAAAATGAAAATAAAATGGTAGAATGAAAACTTATTTGAAACTGGTATACATGATATGGTAAAACTAAGAGGAAAACTGTTTAAAATATAATGAAAATGAAAGTGTCACAGTAAACATGAAAACTATTTTGAAATTATTAAATTAAATGCAGTGCACTAAAACGAATTTTCTGAAATTGAAGATAATAAGAATGGCTTTGAAATAGTGACAAATGGTGCAGAAGGAACGGAAATTGTTTTGAAAATTGGGAAAATGAGAATGTATAAACTAAAAGTTACAGTTATTTTGAAAGTTTTGAAAACTAAAATTATTTTGGAATTGAAAATGGGAAGTGAAAGAGTGGAAAATTAAAAGGAAAAAATAATTTCTTTATTTGCATTGTCAAATAAGATACGTAAAATCTGCATGTGTAGTATACCAGTCTAAAATCATAGTTATATCAGTGTTGCTTCAAATAAGAATTTTAGTTGAAACCGCTTTTGGAAATTTGACCGTAATGGGCGTGGTCTTTAAAAAGCTAAAAATTGCTCTTCCTGACGGATTTGCATTTTAAAGTACGCTTTCCCAGTTCAGTTGCAGAAACTTTTCCGTGTAATTTGTTTCTCATGTAGATAAAAATTGTTTCCCCTGATGGGTTTGAAAATGGGCTGTTCTTCTTAAACTGGTCACTTTTTCCCCAGTATGTTGCCTCTTCCCAAGGAGGGTGAGGCACGCATACAGCATCTTGAATCACTGTCGGTTTTACCAATTTCTAAATAAAACATTGGATCATTAAAGGGATTTCTGATAATATTATAGCCTAATTGTGTCCCCAAAGAGCTGCAGTTCAGCTTATTTGAATCCAGTACATTCAGGCTGAACTTAAGACTCCATTCAAAAACTCAGAAGCACCAGAACCGAATTCCGACGGGCTCTGCTCTCTTTATGCTCTGGTTAGTGATTAGAATCAAATCCATACTGTGCGCTAACAGTATGGGCTTGACCAGTATCTCTCCTTTAGTTGTAATACAAAATATATGTTTAAAACTAGAAACCACAAACTCACCTCGGAAACCTTGGACAAAGATCTCTTGTGGTTGTCTCTTGACACGTTGGTCTTCCGCGACGAATCATTGGCTCTTCGTCTTTCCCCGCTGTCTTCAGTTCTTTCCAGAATGGACTCACCAGCGATCAGGTCCCGTGCCCTCGAGTTGGAGGTTCGTAAGTACACGTTCGTTAGGATGGGCTTCAGCTGACGCACCTCCGATGAAGAAGAGGTCTTTCGAACCTTTTGCCTCTGACTCTCCTCTGAGATTTCCGAGCCTTCCCTGTCTTCCGAAACCTCCGATGTGAGTTCCTGCATGAGGGATTCCCACAAGGACCACAAGTCGTCCTTGCTGAGGTGGATGTGAACGGAGGCGTCTGTGATGTCACCCGAAGCGACGTTCGTTAGTTGCGACTCCACTGGTGCCGCTGGCGGAGGCAGAGGTGGTTGCTGAGCAGCACGGATGGTCCTGGTCTGCGTATCTCGTAGGTCTGCAGCACCCACATTTGCGGGAGCGGCATGCCGAGGACGGTCGTAGCTGGTTGCTGAAGCTATGTCGTCATCTGAGCGTTCCTTCTGGTGGTATGCATAATTTCCAAGAGAAAACAGCAAATTCCTGTTTTGGTGGAAAAGAAGTACCTTCATATTTCAATACGTATACAGAGAACACAGATGATAAAATAACCCCTACGAAGTTGAAGGGTGTTTGTTCTGTATAACTTAGATATTGTTTACGTTGAAAATCCTGCATAACTTTGCAAGGTATTCTAAGTTAATTAACCATTTATTATTACTTAAATCTTTACTATAACTTATGCTTTTTGTATTCCTCACTAGAATGCAAAATATTTTTTGTGTGTTTAAACTGAGAGTTTTGAATCATTAGTTTAGAGCTTCTGGCAGCCGCGTCTTGCTTGTAGTCTCGTCTGCTGTGCTTAAAACTTACATTGCAGCTCTGCCATGTTACTAGCAAATGTTTTAAAATACGTGGCAATCTAGGCTAGGATACATTTAAACTTTTTCTAGACTACATTATTAGCGTTTGAATTTAGTTGTCTGTTATGTTTAACTTAAATATCGAAAAATAGCAAAGTTTCGTCTGGAGCATAAGCTGTGAATATTCTGTTAGAGTAGGACTAAATAAAGTGGTAATTTTAACCTTCTCCAGTATTTTGTAAGATGTTTAAGACGTAGCGAGAACTCGCTATTTGTCCAGTAGGGTCTGCAAGACTTCATCTTTCAGTTACAGTAGAAACCCTGCAACGTGCAAGCTCTGAGAAGTGAGTTACAGTGTAGACGCTAATTGTAAACGCGGTTTATGTTATCATTCGGATATTGTTATTAATATGCCGAAGTCCCACCCGTTTGCATACGGTAAATACATCTCTTATTGTGATCCAAAATTCGGTTAATTTGACCAAAATACCGAAGAATAATTTTTAAACTGAAATAAATTGCCACATAAGTTTAACCCTTTGCGGCACAGTGTGTCCGGTCTGGACAAACCTAAAAATTTCCTTCTGTATGCACCGAAAAATTGAATGAAAAAGGATTTATAGGTTACTCTGAACTTTCTTTATTTATAGTAGAGGGCAGCTCACACAACCATTCATATATTTTAGCCATGTTTAGTTTTTAGACCTCATTTTCAAAGAAACCTTCCAGATTTTTTTAGGGTATAAAAGGAATTGTTTGAAAACAAATTTCTATGTTATTATTTTGGCTGTATGCTAATTTCCTTATTCTATATCAGTTTTAAATTTTTACCTTGAAATCTTGCCTAAAATCAAACGGCGAACCCTAGGTGTGCCCATACCGGGCTCACCGATCATCTAGAACAACTGAAAGTCTGTATTCTTTGTTTCTACTCATCTCATCGGTCAGTTCATTGACAACAATGCTCGTTTCAGCACTCTTTTCGAAGCTCTATTCAATCAGTGTGCCATTTTGGACCCACCCACAGAATTAAAACGATAAGTGCTATCTTTACAAAATTTTACTTGTGTACTCCTCTAGGCCTAATTAGACTGCCTACTTTTTTTAATGAAAACTCCGACTTTAATTACGTGCCGAAGCTTAAATGCATATACGGGTGTCGAAAAATAATTTTCCCTGTCGCCTCTGTCAATTTGTTTTAAAGTCAAAAAAATAATGAGACTTAAAGATATGACATTCCTTTATTTTCCACATAGGTACCAAGTACATTGAGACATTTTCATATAGCTTCTAAAAGCCCTCCAGGAAAAAATTAGGGCTTTGCATATGGAAGAAGCGTTGAACGGTTTTTACTTCAGTATTGCTTCAAAGCGCCTTCCCCGAGATTTTCTTCAAACCGAAACAGATGGAAGTCGCTTGGTGCGAGATCAGGACTGTATGCGGATGGTGTACGCGCTCCCAACCAGAGTTGCAATATATTTTGCGTTGCCGTCGCCGAATGTGGTCTGGCATTGTTCCAACAGCAGAACGCCAGATGTGAGAAGGCCAGGCCCTTTCTCCGATCGCCTTTTTCATTTCACGCTTCTTCCATAGCAAGCGTGAATTTTTCTTGGAGGACTTTTTGAATCTTATCAAGCGATATGACAAATGTCTCAACGTACTCATACGAGAATAAGAAAATAAAGGTATGTCATATCTTTAATGTCTCATTCAATTTTTTGACTTTCATACACAACTCTGACCACAGTCGACAGGGGAAACTTATTTTTCAACTTACCCTCGTAGAAATTGCCAAGTTGCAAAGAAATGTCGCCAAGTAAGGAATTAAACCGCCAAACATCTTGAATTCAGTTATAGTCAACAATTAAAAATTAGGCGTTAAAACAACCTTAGTTTGATTTAGATTTTCAATAATTTTATCGATTTTGTGGGAGCCATTTGCAAACATAGAGCTTCTTCTACAGGAGCAAAAAAAATTCTGCATCTGCTCCAAACTAAAATTACTTTTCAGCCTAATTTTACGTTTTTCATTGGCAAATTCTTTTCCAATGAGGGACAATTTCCGTCTATTAAGATTAATACTACAGCATCAGTCTGTAAGGATTTTTGTTAATTTTATTAACAGTTAAATTTCCTTTCCTATCGATCCTTAACTTCAACTTACCACTTCCGGCCAGAACGTAGTTTTAGAATCACGTCTGAATACATAATGAGGAAGAGCGGTATGTAACCGCGAAGTTCTTCGGTCTTAGTGAGAGAGTTACCAGGTATTCTGTCTGCACGCGTCCGCCTTTTTAGGCTTCTCTCGCGTAAGCTATTCCCCGCTCGACCGTACTTAGGCCCTTGGTAGCTTCGCAGTCAATTAGCGTTAAGGGGTCAACTCAGTTGGAATCTTGATAGCTTCGGCTATATCTCTTTAGATTAGTTTCAGTTTACTTTTTAGTCCTTTAACTTCAAGCCCAAGTGTCGGCTTTTATTGTACACTCCAAGACGGAGTTCTATTAAATAATATTTGAATAATAAAGGGTTATTTACCATTCCATCTTGTTGTTTCTTGTCACACGAACTCAAGCGATTGTTCGCTTATCAGTTCTTAAGGGGTATCAGAAACCCCTATACCGACAATGTTAAATTGGCCATTTTCGATGCACCTTTTCTCAAAATCTGCTGTAGATACAAGCTTGAAATTTTCTCTGTAATTAAAGTGTACCTATCTGATTATACTGCAATGAGCTTTTGAAAGATTTTGAATTTTAGAGTAAATTACAGGATATTTTGTTAGGCATAGTAAAATTTAGCACTTTTCTCACACAAAAAAAAATTTTTTTTTTCCTAAGTTATTACAAAACGCTCATTTCAGTAAATATAAGGGAACCTCATAAATAAGCCATAAAAATTTAGATACCTGCGAGCAGTAGTTCCTGAAAAAGGTACATCGAGTATAAAAAAATCATGTTGGAGAAAACGCGTTTTTATGTCAAAATCCTCATTGATCAAAGCATGGATGACAAATTAAACTAGATTTTTTACAGTTCTAATTTTCATAGAGATTAAAGAATGGTATTTTTAGAAAGATAAAAGTGTAGAGAATTTGAAAATGCAAAAATCCGAAATCACAATTTTTTGAAGATTTTGGGATTCCAACACACCTTAAGGTTCTTCACGTTCAACAGTAATTTAGCATTTACAAAGTGAGGAACTGTACAAGTCATATAACTACTTGAAGAAACGCTGTGAATAATTTATAAGCAAACTTTTGCATCTTTCTTATGCAAATTATGTGAAAGTAAGTATTTGCATGTAATTTAATGGTTAGACTTTATACTAAATTTATTTACATTATGTTTAGTTTTATTTGTATTAAATTAATTAAATTTCATTGAAATTTTTCCGAAGCTATTATTTCTCAGTTTTCTTAATATATGCAAATCTAAGAATATTTTTTCTCATCGCTTAATGTTACCATCCGGTCAATTTTATCAAAATGCCCATGGACAAACGTGATCATATTATGGGTTGCGGAGTGTAAGTTCTCTCTTCATATGGGAACGGCACTTTTTAACGAGAAAAATATCTATTTATTGAAGGAGGAGATTTTTATATTTAAATTATTTTATGGTGAACTCAGTTACAAATTTTTTTAAGACAGACCGATTTAAATATTATTCAAGTATCAGAAAATATAGCATTCACATAAAAAAAAATAGAAATTTTTTTAAAAAAAGTCTTATAAAAAGGGTTTTATTTAATAAATTAATGAGATAAAAGTAGAAAAATAATTGATCATATAGTTTCATGGGAAAAAATATATTAGGAAACATAATTATCGCTACACAATTCATCTGCTGTTTTATATCACGAATTATAAAAGGATCGGGCGCCTTTGATAAATTTATATAGTTAGTGGCTTACATTTTTGACAATGAAATTCAATTATTGAGTTTCTTTATTTAGGTGACCACGATTTTATTACTTGTGATATAAAATTGTGCAGGAATTGTGTAACGATAATTATTTAATCCCTTTGTTCCCATTAAATTCGATGATAAATTGTATTACCATTTTAGCTCATTAATTAAAAGCTTAGAAACTTAAATTTTAAAAAATTCATCTTTTTAGGCTTAAAGACATTTTATCAATTTATGCAAATTAAAAATCATATATAACAATAAATAATCACTCTTTTACTGCCACAAATTCTGGTATATTTTTTGTTTTCATGTTTCCTAAGCCATACAAAGAGAACTATTTTCCATTGAAATTTTTGCTGTGAAACTCATGGGTATTCTGCATAATTTAGACCTCTTAATATGGAAATAATTTTTAAAAATGCTATATCACTTTACCATTTTTAAGAAATAAGTTCTTTCATTGTGACAGAGTTTCACTTTTAATCAAAAGAAGTACCCATTCTTGAATTAAAAATTTTCCCTGAATTTCAAAATTTCCATCATAGCAGTAGCCTTGAATAAAGTTCTGAGTGATATCTCAGTAGAAAAACATAAACGGAATCATAAATCTCATTTACTTTCAGCAGTCACGTGCACCATATGGTATCCTAAGGTAAGACTATTGTTTCCTCGTTCTCTTGAATTGGGTTTAGCAATGTCTTGCAGAGCCTTTGCTTAAAACAGGGATATCTAACCTTTTTCTTGCATTGATCCCTTTTACAGGAATGGTTTTCTTTCTCAATCCCTTTACATTTTTCTTTATAATGTAAATTATACAACAAAACATAATACGAATTTCAAACAAATAATTTTAAAATAACAATTAAGAATGTGAACAAATGTTTGGAAAAAAAAATGATTTACTAGATTTATGTTAATTACTGTGTATTATCATTAATTTTGATTTTACGAATATAAGCAAGTTTCAGGAACAAAATCACCGATTCTAATTACACGGAAGTTCCATTGTAATAAATGGGCTTGATGTATGATGAATTTTGTTTTCGGGGAAGGCGATATTCGGCGTAAAATTGCTTGATTTAAATCTATTCGCTCAAAAACATTCTACCTGTTTCTTGTTTTCAAGTATTGTATTCTTCGTAGTTTTTTCTTGCGCGAGTTCTTAAACTTGAATTGATTTTTATACTTTTTTGTAACGCATTTATCGCAAAAAAAAATTGTATATTTTAAAAAATATTAGTAGTTTTTGAAATAGATTGAATAATTTTAGTGTTTTCCCCTGATAATTAATTTTACAGATTTTTTTCATTTAATTCATGATATAGCTTTACATCAATAAACAATTATTATGCCCTTTAATTGCAGGTGCATATTCGGTTACCGACTTCTTCAGTCGACTCCTTGATCGTCACTAGTCCTCTTTCAAGTTTCATTGATCCCCAGTCAATATCGACACCATTGGGAACAAGTAGGGACGAAGATAAAAGAAAAGTAAAATTTTTTTTCATTTGCGAACAGAAGACTGGTTCTACCGAGGATGATATTAAAGGTTAGTAACTTTTTGTTAAAATTTGTAAATATTTTGGGGAGAAATATGGCAAATACAAGGAAAGTTTCAATCCAAAATATCCATATAGTTCAGGTTAAAATAACACTCCGAACAACGATAAATTTAGAAGTCAAACAACAAAAATTAGCGCTATATTTTCAAATTTTCCATGACTAGTTTCAATGGTTTGACCACCGAACCATCTTGCTCAACTGCCAAAGTGCAAAATGTAACTAGTCCAAAACCAGTCTTTCCTGGACTAGTCGAAACTAGTTCTGGAAACTTTGATAATATATCTCTGATTATTGTTGTTTTGTAGAGACATTAGGATTTTTGGAAGCAGGTTAGATGAAAAATAGCAACTGCCTTTGCCGGGAATCGAACCACGGACCTCTGTAATACCGGCTCCGTGTGCTGACCACTACACCACGAAGGCACTCTAGGAGAGTGGAAGAAATAATCCATATAGTTCGTTATATCCGATTTTCATACCTTCGGAAATTCGTTCCAGCGATATAAAGTAAACTTTAGTGTAAAAGAAATTGGACGAGAATACAAGGTTCGTTCATTATGTCTGGGCCTTTATCACCAGCGATGTTCGTTATAGCGGGATTCAATTGTATATAAAATTCTATTGCAAAAGATATCTTTAATATGCCATAAAAACTTTCAGACCTGTTAATTTCGTTGTTTTCGAGGACTTTCGTGGCAGGAACGGCACCGTGCAATTGCAAATACTTAGCACAACGCTGATTTCCTTGATATACGGACACATCCAGGGGACTCATCAGGAAGCCCTGAAAAAAGAAATAAAACAAAATTACGAAGAAATGGAAAAAATTTCATTTATTGCTATGGCTTTATTACCTAACTACTACTTCATCCGCTTTCTAAAAATCATTGTCTTCAGAGGGTCTCAACGGACTGTTATTTCTTTACCACAGAAAAGCTGAATTTCAAGGAAATCCTCGACTCATAATACTGCAGCTCATCTGAGATTTAACGAATCTAAGGATTTAAATTGCAACGCATGAAAATCGGATGTGTTGTATTATATATATATACAGTGGATGGACAAAAATATGGAAACACCTTGTGAAATGCATGTTTGAAAAGAAAGATTGATTTTAATGAAATATGTAGGTGGCGCTGGCATTTTTTGACTACTGACGCCACCTATACAACTTCGTAAATGTGGTAAACAGTTCAGTTGTTGTCGGAGTACTGTTATGTGAGGTTGTCATTGCATTATGTCAGAGTTAAAGAACTTCGAACGTGGGCAAAGTGTTGGAGCACGTATGGTAGGTGCTTCCGTAAGCAAGGTAGCCGAGGTGTTTAGTGTTTCAAGAGGTACTGTATCAAAGATTTATTCCGCATATTTGAAAAGCGGAAAAACATCATCTGCTAAATCACAGCGCGGACGAAAGTGTGTCCTGAGTGATCGTGACAGACGATCATTAAGGGCAATTGTGACGAAAAATAAGAAGACCACAGCTGCAAAAGTTACTGCTGAAATGAATGTTGTGTTATTAAACCCTGTGAGTACCAAAACAATTAGAAGGGAGCTTCATAAACAGGGAATTGCTGGCCGTGCTGCAATTGAGAAGCCACTCATCAGTGATGCTAATGCCCGTAACAGGAAAAAGGTGGTGTTAAGTCATAAAGCCTGGACTACGAGCAGTGGAAGCGAGTAATATGGTCTGACGAGTCTTCTTTCACATTGTTTCCCACTTCTGGCCGAGTTTACGTCTGGAAAACGCCATCTCAATACAGCCTATAATACAGACTGCTTGTTGCCAAGAGTGAAACATGGCAGGGGTTCTGTTATGGTTTGGGCAGCCATATCGTGGTTCTCTGCTAGCCCCATGATAACTGTGTCAGGGCACATGACTGCCAAGACTTATGTGAACATTTTGGCCGATCAAGTTCATCCCATGGTACAAACTTTGTTCCCCGATGGTGATGGTGTCTTCCAAGATGACAAGCCCCTGTTCACACAGCTCACATTGTCCAGGACTGGTTTCTGAGCACGAGGATGAGTTGTCCCATCTCCCCTGGCCACCACAGTCACCAGACCTGAATATTATCGAACCTTTGTGGTCTACATTGGAACGGAAAGTGCGTTCTCGTATCCACCGCCAACATCGTTATCTGAACTTGCCACCGTTTTGCAGGAAGAATGGTATAATATTCCCTTGGCAAACATACAGGAACTGTATTTATCCATTCCGAGAAGACTGCAAGCTGTTTTGGATGCCAACGGGTTTCCTACCTCATATTAAGCAAAGAAACATGTTTTTTTAAGGTGTTTCAATTTTGTCCAACCCATGTATATATAGTATATTGAATTTAATAATAGAATAGTATTGAAAATAGATATTTTTAGTAGTGTTGGAAGTGTCTGGATCTTCGATTTCACTCAATGTATCTCTATTTATGTATGCATTAATTTAAATATATTAAGTTGTAAATTTCTAGTATTGAATTGTAATAGTGTGTAGTAGGTATTGAATAGTTGCATCATGTATGATTTGTACTAGTAATTAGTAATTCTGATTATATTATTACTTGTTATTTTTCGTATCAGCAAAATTAGTAAAGTTATAGATCTGAAAAGTAAGCTTCATTTAAGTTCATTGTAGTCTTAAGTCATTCTGTTAATAAAGACAGTGATAGTAGCAAGATATGTTCCTAGAGCATTTATGGTACTTACGACTAATTCACACCTCATTTAACTCTATATGTTTAAAATAGCTATATATATAACAAATTGTACCGTGAAAATATTGGTACCAGAGTAAATATTCTACCATTTAAATATGGTACTACTAGAAAGCCCTGCGCTCATACGAAAACGACGCTGGTCTAGATATTTTAAATTGTAATATTAAATATGATTGTGCAAAGGTGTCTGCTAATTTAAACTGAATTACCCAGGGCAAACCGCGAGAACGCCCCTTTGCTTACTGCACCACGGTGTTTCCCTCTTCTACTTGCTTAATTGCTTAGAGTACAATGAAGGAAATCACTGGCGGTACATTTCTTAAGAGCCCACCGCTAGCTCAATCAATAGAGGTGATTTAAATAATCAAATGTTAAATCACATGTCAAAGATCTCTTTGTACGCAACATTTCTTATATAGATCTTTTCATCATTTTTAAGCTCGCCTTGCAGATGACCATACAATATTTT